CCAAGCAAACCTAGAGCAATCATCAACAAGCACCATAACATATCTCTTACTACCTCTGCTCAGTGTTCTCATTGGTCCACAAAGATCTATATGGACCAGTTCTATCGTCCTGGTAGTGCTTACCATTTTCTTGCTTTTTAAAGAGGATCTTACTGCTTCCCCGTTACACAAGCCTCACAAACTTTATCTTCCTTAAACTTAATGTTAGGCAGCCCTATCACCAAGTTCTTGGAGACTAGTTTGTTGAGTTGGCTTAGACTGGCATGTCCAAGTCTCTTGTGCTAAAAGAGGGGATCATTATCCAACACACTTAAGCAAGTGAGTTCATTATCTGAAAGTGTGGACAGATCTACAACATATATGTTGTTCACTCTTTTTCCCTGCAAAACTATCTTGTCAGTGGTAAGATTAATCATAAAGCATTTTGTAGAGGTGAATGCTGCCATGTTACCTCTATCACACATGTGTGATACACTTATCAGACTATACTTCAGTCCATCTATCAAGTAGACATTCTCAATAGAGTGAGAATCAGTCTTACCTACCTTTCCAACCCCAATGATCTCACCTTTCTTTTCGTTTCCAAAGGAAACATTACCTCATTTAAGGTCCTCAAGTGAAAGGAACTCGTTCTTGCTTCCTGTCATATGCTTAGAACAACCACTATCCATATACCATATTTGGTTGTTTCCCTTCACTTGGACCTACAAAAAGAAATCAGGGGGTAGTCTTAGGAACCTAAACAAGTTTGGGTCCCTTTCTATAGGCAAAAGGATAAATCAAATTCTTTTTAGCCCAACTTGATATCCTATTTTTCCCTAGAACAAATTTTTTATTCTTTTGACTTGCCTTTTGTTTTGCAGTATATTCACTCTTATAGTGACCAGTGTTACCACAGTGTGTGCAAATATTATTCTCAGGGAGTGTGAGGTACTTACTTTTGGGATCCCACTTAGGTGCAGAGTTCCCAAAGCCAAGTCCTACTCTGTTGCTACTATGATGTTCTTGTAGCCATGACAGTGCATCAGAGGACCTGTTCAATTTACAAGTTTTGTCTAGCTCATGCTTGACCTTATTCAGATCCTCCTTTAGGACTCTTACCTATTCATCCCTCTTATACAACTCATCTTTTATTTTTCCTATATTTTCTTCTAAAGTGAGTTGTGTGTGATCAACTGTCTTTTACCTGTTCCTAATTTTAATTTTAGATTTTCAGATCTAATTTCTAAGATAGTTGTGTCAAGTGCATGAACCTGGTTCTTTAACACGGTATTTTCACTTTCAGTTTCACAAGCCTTAAGTTTCAGGTTTTTGCACTTAGCCTTCAAAACCACACATTCTTTCTACAGTTGTTCCTTTTCATTATTCACATCCTCAGATTCATCAATTAGCTCTAATAGTAACTTAAATAACCTTTCTTTAGACAAAAATTTAATCTTGTCTTTGAGATGAAAGACACTTGCCTCAATTTCTTCATCAGATTCTCCAATGGCCATAAGTGCTCGTTCATCATCATCATCATCATCATCATCATCATCATCTGAGCTATCTCCCCAAGCAGCGACCATAGCCTTGGTTGATCCTTTGCTGTTACTTTTCTTGGGTTGAACCTGTTCCTTCGTTCAGCTCTGTCCTTCTTCCATTCAGTTTCCTACAAAGGATAGTTTTTGATCATGTGATCAGTCTTTCCACACTTCTAGAAGCCATCACTGGTTTGCTTCTCTAGAACTCTTGCCTTGCTGTAGCTTCCACTTTTTGAGGCACCATTTCCTCTCCTTGGGTACTTCTTGAAGTCTTTGGTGATCATTGCCATTTTATCATCTTCTAGATCAGAACCTTCAGTGATTATGAGTGGCAAGCTCATTTCCTTCTTAGGTACATCCATTTTTATGGTTTGTCTTCTAAGTTCATAGGCAATGAGATTCCCAATCAATTCATCTAGTATGAGAGTAGCAATATTCTTTGATTCCTCGATGGCAGTGATCTTGCTCTCCCAAGTGATTGGCAAGACCCTAGTGAGTATCTTCTCGACTCTTTCTTTTTAGGGATAATCCTTCCAAGAGATTTTAGTTCATTTATTAATGTAGTGAACCTTGTGTACATCTCCTGAATGGTTTCTCCATCCTTCATAACAAAGTTCTCATACTGAGAATAAAGTAGATTCCTCTAGATCTCTTTACCTGAGTTGTTCCTTCATGGGCCAATTACAGTATGTCCCAAATTTGCTTAGTAGTGGAACAACCTTGGATTCTGCTGTACTCATCGGGACCAAGCCCACAAACAAGCCATATCTTGGCTTTAGTATTCTTCTTCCACTTATTCAAGTCCTCAGCATTACAATCTGCTCTTGTCTTTGGCAAATCTACTCCTTCAGTATTTTTCTTCAAGGTTGTCAGTGGATCATCAGTGACAATGTCCCATAGCTCATAGTCCTCTCCTTGAATGTGATCTCTCATTCTGTTCTTCCACCAAGAGTAGTACTGGCCATTAAAGAGTGGTGGCCTAACAGTGGATTGCCCTTCCCAATTTTCAGGTGGTGCACTCATCTTGATCTTCTCCTAAGGTATTAGCCTCTTCAAGGATAACCGGCTATGATACCAATTGATATCTTATTCTTCAATACCACACAAGAGAGAGGGGGGAGGGTGATTTGTGTGGTGTTTAATTTTTCGCGTACACAAATTATAGAAGGACCTGGTTATTTTATGTGTTTCTTGTACTACTGTTGCGGAATAATAAATGCAGAAAGTAAAGAACACAAGTATTTTTAGGTGAAAAATACCTGGCTCAAAAGGTGAAAAAATCATGACATACTACCCATTAGGATATTTCCCAACACTTCACTAAATCACTGAGCCAAAAATAATGTTTACAAAACTCTTGTAAACCTAAGGATTACCTCTAACCCTTTGTGGCAACACCCTCAGACTGTTGCGATAATTTTAAGTTAACTCTAACTTGAACACTACACTAGAGTACCTAGTATAAATACTTCTAAAGAAAGCTAAAAGGTACAACTCAAAAGCCCTACTACAATTGAACTAGAATAAAAAACAGACACTTGAAACTGGTTCTTCTATCTGGTTCATGTAGCTTCAGGTTCGCACACTTGAATTACACAGGAATTGCTTGCAAAATGCCTTGCTATTTTGCTTTCAACTCACGTTTAACTTCAGCGTGCGTACCTGTAAAATGAGAACATCCTAAAATATATAGAGTTAGTAGAATAGGAAATAACTAGAAGTCTAATGCTTTACTCTTCCTTGGTGGAAGAGTTCTAGTTATCTTCAACTTCTAACTCCTCCCTTATCTAGGATAGAGTTCCCTTTGAGTTAAGAGTCCGGCTCCTTATCAATTATGCAACATTTTCGCTCAGGAGATATCAGATATAACCACTTAAGCTTATCTCCTTCACGTGCATGCCTAGTGCTCGAATCTACCTGTGTCTGTGTACATTATGTATGGACCTGGTTCATGCTTGAGTTACTTTATCAATCATAAAAACAAACTTACTTAGGCCAACATGTTTTTCAATTCAAAATAGACCTGAACTATTCTAAAATGTATGGTTATATTTTAAAATATGCTTAGTAAAAAGAGATCATTAGATGATGAGAACTTATAAAAATATGGGTCAATTGGTTTTTGGCTCTTTACAAACTTATTTTTAGTTTTGTGACACCGCCTCTTTTTTTTTATTACACATACGAGATTTACTTCTACACTTAAGAGATATGTCTTTTACACATAAGAGATCTAAAAAGGTCATTTTCTTAAATTCAAAATTGTAAAGGGGCATGATGTACAAATAACACTAAAAATATTATCTTAACCATGGATATTAATATTGCTAAAGCTTTGGTGAATAGAGTTATTAGATACCTTCCATGGTGGGAGCTAGTAAGTAGCCGAGTGCATAGTAAAAGATACATACAAGATGGTCGATACACCATCTTTACAAAACAAAAAGAAAAGAATTAAATAAAAACATGTAAAATTTTATTTATATAATTTAAGACCTCTTCTCAAGGTTTGACTTTAGGTCATTAATACCGTTAAACCGCCCCGAAACATCCCCCGCTTTTTATTTATGTTTACTAGAAGAAGTATAATACGTTTGTATTCTGTAATTAGACCAATCAAAATTCATAAGCATCTCAGCTATCACCTTAATCCTCCTCTTATCTATAATTAAATGGGTGGTTTTGTATGAGGTATTAGAAAAAATAATGCAAGTATTAACTCTATGCATTACTAATACTTTGTTTGGTATATTTTTTCAATATGTGTATAACTAATCCTTGTATTAGTTATACATTATACTTGGTATTATCCTATGTATAAGTAATGCATAGAAAACCATGGCATTAGTAATACCAAGGCTACTAATGCATGCATTAGGTTGGTTAAAGACAAAATTATCCTTAAAGTCCCTTAAAACTTGAGAATATGGAGGGCATTTTTGTAAACAACTATTTTTCTTAAAAATTATGCAATGCATTATAATTTTAATACACCACACCAAACAGTAAATAAAAAATAATATCTGCATAATTAATACTTGTATTATTAACTCATACATTACTAATTCATGCATTACTAATACACTTTATTCCCCATTATTCTTATACACGAACCCCTAAGTGGGTAGGTAAGAATCTACTACTAAACAAGCCGCTAAGACAATAATCTGTTGGCTGAATCCACTCATCTTTAAGACGAGACAAGAGTGGTTTTGGTTATAATAATAATCCTCGGCTTTCTTTATCATTTTTCAATTATTTATACAAAAGCGTTGTCCTGAACGACATAGCGTTTATGAGGCCAGGGCAACTTTACCTTAATAAAAATATTGCGCCCCACCCCCCAAAAAACAATAAAAATATCTTAGTTAGTGAGTTACCGCTACTGTGTTCACAAAATTTTACTCAATATAATGGTAAAGATTGAAGACGTCACCGTATATATCCCTCTATAAATAGACTACTACTTTCCCAATTCAACACATCAATCTACTTGCATGCATAGTGTAGTAGTAAGCCTCTAAATATATATCCAGGCAAAGAAAAATGAATATCCTTTTGCTCTCATTTATCCTTCTCCAATCTTTTGCCTTTTCATTAGCCAATCCCTCAGAACTACTCTCAGCCGGTCCATCACCCTCTCCAGTTCTCGACACCAATGGCGACAAAATCCGAACTGGTTCCAACTATTTCGTTCTGCCAGTGATCCGAGGAAGAGGCGGTGGACTCTTCCCTTCCAACGTTAAACAAAACAATACTTGTCCTAGAGACATTATTCAAGAGTCCCTTGAGGTCCAACAAGGCTTGCCTGTGGTTTTCACCCCTGTGGACCCCAAAAAAGGTGTCATTCGTCTCTCTAGTGACCTTAACGTCAGGTTTTTCACTCCAACTATTTGTGCTAGAGAAACTATTTGGAAAGTTGGTGACTTTGATGAGAAGTTGAAGCAGTATTTTGTGGTGACTGGTGGAGTTGAAGGGAACCCGGGTCCTCAGACAGTGAGCAATTGGTTTAAGATTGAGAAACTTGGGACAGATTATAAGTTTGTGTTCTGTCCAAGTGTGTGCTCGTTTTGCAAGGTTATTTGCAAAGATGTTGGGATTTTTACTAAGAATGGAGTCAGGTTTTTGGCTCTCAGTGACACTCCATTCAGGGTTATGTTCAAGAAGACTTTCTAAATATATGTACCTTTCCTTTTTCAGTGTTGTGGTGTAGCCGTGAACTGATCATATATAGGAGCGTCATTTTCCTCGAATTTTCTGCTTGTGTAATGTCGGTTGTTTTTCGTTTGTGAGTTTGAATGCTTGCAGGTTGTGAATAAACTGCAACTTTTAGCTGTTTGGTTTTCTACTCCAATAGTGTGTTTCTTTTTCTCTTAAACTTTGCTATTTATGTTCCCAGTTTTCCTACACCAATGTTTTATCTGACTTTTACTAATTTGGCGTTTGAATGAGGATCTTCCTTCACCTATACAAACACTTCACTATATTATGCTCTGTCTGCTGAGTACTATATCCAAAGACAATAGGCAACTGTCCGGGCAGTGTGGGCACATAAAATTATGAGAATGACAATTTTTATAAGCTGAGATATTCTAAGTACCATATATAACCCTCAAGTCCTCAAGGACCTCAACTCTTTTTCCACGATTTCCTTAGAACTTTGCTCTGTGAATAGGATATGAATGGTCTTCTATTTTCTTCTTCTTTTCTTTTTTAAATCATACATATTTGCTTACTATTTCTTGTTTTGATTACTGTAACATATTAATCTGTATTTTTTGCTCTTTATTAATTTGCTTATTAAATAACCTTAAGGAACTAAATTTACGTGAGCACCTTCTCGTACATATGACAATTGCATGCGAAAGTAATGAATATATATATAATATATATATATATAGAGAGAGACCTAAAGACTATCTCTGCAAAGAAAATAAGAAATCATACGTCCGTCAATAGCAAAATGGGCCCTAGGAAAACGGAAAAATCCATCTGGTTAGTCAACTTTGACCGAGTCAAATTTGGATGGTTAATGGAAATTTAGAAGAGGCGCTCGTAGATCGCCAAAAACTATATAAAATATGTATATTATATATTTTATCGGTTACTGTTTTTTTGGAGTGGTTAAAAACATATTCCGTTGTTTCCTGTATCATAGAAAATGCAGAAAGTAATTAAGGATACATAAATTTTCTCCTTACTCACCTATTCTCTTCATAAATATTATTAAAAAAAAGCCCAATTGAAGATATTTAGGGCCGTTTGGCCATAATTTTTTTTATTTTATTTTCTTTGAAATGACTGTTTGACCATGAAATTTTTAATTTTAACTTAAGCTGAAATTTTCGGATTTGAAATCACTTGAAGTAATAAGCTGAAAGTTCAAAGGAATCAGTTGCCGAATAACCTCTAAATTACCATGAGTGGTAGAAAATATATACAATAAATATATATAACTCAAATCCTTAAAAATAGTTATGTGGTGACCTTCATTTTATTACCTCATTTTCTAATGATGTGTGGCAGTAGCACCGGCATCACTTCTCCAGCAGAGTATGAAATATCAATGCGTGGAAAATTATTTGCTTTTAGCTTTCCGTGTCCAGCCACGTGGGTGTTACGTGATAGCCAGAAAATGCTGGCTTTGAAATCCATTCAGAAACTAAAATAATGTGCGTTCACCAATTTTTGTTATTCAAATGATGAGCTTTATAGCCTGTTTGGCCGGAAATATTGAGAAATATTTTGAGATTTTTTTTTTAAAAAGTACTTTTGATGAAAAAAAGTTTGTGTTTGGCTAGTTAATTTGAAAAGTATTTTTAAGCAATAATTAGTATTTGGCCAAACTTTTAAAAAGTACTTCTAAGTGTATTTTTCTCAAAAAAGTATTTTTGGGAAGAAGTTATTTTTTTCTGATTCTCCAAAACTGCTTCTGGTTCTACTCAAAAATATAATTTTTTTCTTCTAAAAGCTTGCTAAACACTTTAATTTTTTTAAAAAAAAAACTTTTTTAGAAAAAATAAATACTTTTCAACTTAGAGAAATTTGATCAAACAAACTATTGGATAAACCATATGCATCCACCTCATACTGTCTCACTCTCTGTATTCTACTTGCAAATTGTGTCTTAAAAACATTATCATGTGTTCTTATTATACCACGTTATTATTAGTTGAAAATTTAAATAATATGATCTCACAGAACCACTTGCTCAATACTTTTATTTTTTTGAGAATCATAATCTTTACTTTCTAATAATTTGTATATTTAATTTCAACAGATAGAGTAATTGAAACATGATTCATTTTTGGGGAGAAAGAGTGTCATTTTATAAGGTTGATCTAACTTTAGCCTCTGCATTCAGTAATTTAAAAAGGGAAATCTATACTAAATGCCTACACAATCCAAAATAATTACCCATATGAAAGTTTGTTACAAAAATTACACATTTAGCCAAAACATTTAAACAAGCCTACCTATTCCGTTTTGTCTTTTGATTTATTTCTCTGTGCTAGCTTAATCTAGTGGAAAACATTCCCTTTTCCCTTTGAAGTGCAAAATTTCAGAGCTTTCTCTTTTAATAGACTATGAAATCTTGTTGACATGTTATTTTTCATGTCATCTCATCTCTTTTCTGTCAAAATCTCATGCTTGCTCGGATTTTGCATTTCGTGTTTTTTGCTGAAATTAAAATATTACAGATTTTCTAAAAGTCTTTTTCCAAAATTCAAAATTTATGATTTATCAACTTGAAGATTTTAATCTTAGATTTGAAGTGGGTGTGTATTGCTTATAGTACCTTTGAGTAAGCTTCCCAAAATTTTTATGTGTATTTGAATATCCACCATTGTTGGGCTTAAAGCTCTTGAATTTAAAATTTTTATTTTGAAGATTTCTTGTTTGATTCAAAGTGGGTGTTATTAAATATTGCTTAAATATTACTTCTAGAAGTTTATACTGAAATTTGATCGCAGTTGGAGCTGATTTGAGGCGATTGAGATCGAATTTTTTAGCTGAAAATCGAAGAACATAGTTACCCAACACTATACCGCTACAGTATACAATATACGGTAGGGGTATATAGCTATACTGCAATAATATACTGTTATGTTATAGAATATATCTCAACGATATACTGTAATAATCAAAGAAGAACACAATTACCTAACAGTACACCACTACGATATACAATATACTGTAAGAGTATATAGCTATGCTGCAATAGTATACGGTTATAGTATACAATATACTGTAATGGTATATTATAATAATATGCAATATAGTGCAACAATATGCTGTAATAGTATATAATATACCATAATAGTATACTTCAACTGCTATTTTGTTGAGTCATCTAAGTGCTACTGTGCAAAGCTAAAGTTATGATTATAGTAACATTATACTGTTATAGTATACAATATATTATAACAATATACAATAATGAATATGTCATTTTTATTTTTTTAAAATTTTTTTTCCAACTAGGTCCTTGCAAATATTTTCTTAAATGAATTTTTTGATGGAATTTCATGAAAATAATAGGGAAAATCTCACTTTATAGTTGTTTTGATTCGATTTTTACTGAGTCATGTTTGAAATGCTGATCGAAGGCCATGACTAAATTTTGAGTAAATTTGGTGGAGATTTTTGGAGTAGGATTTGGAATTTAGGCCAAAATTAAGTAGAACTAGCAAAAAAAAACAAAGTTGTATAGTATACCAACATGTTATACTATATGTTATACTAAATAAAAAGGAACAAAAATAAAGGAGCAAAAAAGATGTGCATAATTACATTATGAAAAAAAAAATTAAAAGAAAAAATAATTTGAAAATAATAATAAATGAAATTAGAAAATAAAAAAAGAAAAAAAAGAGAAGAAAAAACATGTATAATGTATAAGTTATTCTTATAATTGATCTACAAAAAAAGATCTACAGAAAAAAAAGAAGAGAAAAAGTAAGACAAAGATATATTATATCAGTTATATTAAAAAAAAGGCGAACAAATATTTACTATATTAGTTATCTTTTTATTATTGCACAGCGGAAAAAAAAGAAGAATAAAAAAGGAGAAGAAAAAGTGAATAAAATTAGATTATGCTAAAAAAGGGAAATAAAAGGAAAACGATTTAAATAAAATTAGAAAAGGAACAAGAATAAAGAAAATGAACAAAAAGAAAAAAAGGAGCCAAAATTGAGCATGGAATCAGATTATGGTAGAAAAAGAAAATAAAAAATAATATGATTGAAAAATAAACATAAAAGGAGAAAACAATACAGAATAAAGAAAAACGAGAAACAAGAAAAAGAGAAAAAAAGAGGCAATTATCCACAAAAGCTATTATGGGTACGAAAGGTAATTAGTTTGATGGGTAAAAAAATAAATAGGTAAGCAAGAATAATTAGTTTGATTTTTATGAGCAAAGTTATAAAATTCCCATTTAAATATTATAATAAGAATTAACTAAAGCCATATGCTGCTATGCTATCCCGTGATGTCTCTTCGCTCTACGCAACAGGCGAACTACAATATTTCAAAAAAGAAAACGACATTTTTATGTTGCAGTCATCATTAAAGTAATTTTCCACTATAAGTAAACCAAAGTTGCAGCCAAATGCCTATCAATTAGTTTTTTGGCCTTTTATAAATTTGTTTTTAATTTTATAATCACATCTTTTATTTTACACATGAGAGATTTATTTTTATACATAGAAGATCTTTTTTTTACACGTAAGAAATCTAAAAAAGACATTTTCTTAAATTCAACATTGTAAAAGGTCTTGTAGGTCTAAAACCTTCCAAAAAAGGTTTACTTACAAATCTGATAATGCCATTGCATTGTCCTATTTTCTTTGTAGTCTTTTCACTTACCTATGAGTAATTTTCTTAAATAGAGTTACAGAATGCTGAAACATGTTTGATTCAAAAAATAAATATCAGTTTTGGTGTAACGCTAAAATATTTTTCAGAAACTAAAGGTAACTAACTCTAAATTAACATTTATCTAATCATTAAACAAATTTTTCTTTATCAAAACAATTTTTAGAATACGGAAAAGGGCCAATTTTGCTCATGAACTGTTGAAAATAGAGCAATTATTCCGTCCGTTTGATTTTGGTAGCAAAATACATTCGCCGTTACTGAAATAGCTTAATTATACATACCCACTAATAATCTCTAACTAAGATATAAACTCACTCAAAAAATATTATTTTTACCTAGTTGGAGTTCCATCTTGGAAAAACCACTACTTGAAATAAGGACGAAAGAAGAGTCCCCGACTAAAAGTATTTTGGCCACGGTGAAAGTGTGTTTACCCGTAAAATAATACAGTTGAATTTGAAACATGATTTATAGACAAGTAAATTGATTTGACCCAAAAATACG